ATCCCTGTACTGTGTCCACAGTCTCTGGTCATCCCTGTACTGTCCGCAGTCTCTGGTCATCCCTGTACTGTCCGCAGTCTCTGGTCATCCCTGTACTGTGTCCGCAGTCTCTGGTCATCCCTGTACTGTGTCCGCAGTCTCTGGTCATCCCTGTACTGTTAATTAGTTTGCACTACTGTACGAGTTGTTTTTTCTAAACCAAAAGCTCGATATTCAGGTTTCATTGCAGTGGTGGCACTTTGAAAGAAATAAGTTGGTTTTGGGTTGCAGTTTGGGCACTCAAAAAGGTTCGCCATCACTGGTATAGACTGTGGCTATCAAAAGTAAATGAATATTTATGCACATACAAACACCACTAACCGTTTGATTAATAGGTTAACGTAGACACTATATTATGCACTGAAGTTTGAAAATTGTTACTGTAATAAATATATATATATATATATATATATATATATACATACAAACACACCTTTTTTCCCCGAAAATAAGACAAATATATGTCTTATATTTTTTTTGGCTCAAAAAAAAACACACTAGGTCTTATTTTCGGGGTAGGTCTTATTTTTTTAATGTACAGGTGTGGACAGGGGGTGCAGAGGTGAGCTGCAGGAAGTTGTGGTTACTATAGATAGGGCCGGCTGATGACAGTTGTGAGCTGCAGTCAGTTGTTGCAGAGGTGAATTGACAGGTGAGTTTCAGACAGGGTGCAGAGATGAGCCACAGACAGGGTGCAGAGGTGAGTCGCAGACAAGGTGCAGGGGTGAGTTGCAGACGGGATGCAGAAGTGAGCTGTGGCTGGGGGGAGCAGAGGTGGGTTGCAACTCAGCTGACCTCTGCACCCCCCAGCCGCAGCTCACCTATGCACCGTCTGCAACTCACCTGTCAATTTACCTCTGCAGCACGTGACCGAAGCTGACCTTTGCACATCCTCCCCCTCCATTGGCCTCATATGGTTATCTACCTTTGCAAAACACAGCTGTCAGCAAGCAGCCCTTATCTATAGTAATTCCCGTTTCAGGTCCTATCTTCCCACACAGTGCACCAAGCGCACTCACCACTCCGTCTCTTCCTCACTGGACAGTGATCACCCCTGGGGCATTGGCTTCCATGCATTAGGCTGCAGGATGAGATGCCCGCCCCACCCCTAAACACACTGTGCCCTCAGAGATATCTGTTCCTTCCCTGTCCCACAGTGAGTACAGAGGAAGCATCCAAAACAGTATTGAAATCTCCCACTACCAATATTGATGTTTGTGGGTAGATGGCTACGAATTGGAATAGACACTTTACTACCTCTATTTTAAATGATGGTGGAATATAAATGTTGGTAATAACACATACATGAGAGTCCCAGTTACAGAGTAAAACTATAAAGTGGCCTAGCAGATCACCCTGTGAGGAGAGGACCGTGAAAGGTACTCCCCTAGCGACTATTATACTCACCCCGAAAATATTTAGAATATGCCACATGAAACTGGACGGGGAATTTAGAGCGTTTCATGAGATGAAGAGTGTCCATGGTCAGGTGAGTCTTGGTGGCAGACGATGGAAGCGTCTTGGTGGCTGATGAAAATGAAGATAGCAGTCCTCTTCTTAGGGTTGTGTGGGCTACGGGTTGTATGTAGCCCACACAACCCAAGAGAACAGTGTCTTTATAACGACTCATAGCTGAGAGAGAAGAGATGGTGACAGTAGTATTGTCCCTTAAGAGGCATAGTCTAGTGCCCAAAAGAACTTGTAGAGTGATTACCACGGAGAAGATGCCCTTTAATCTTTGGAAGCCCAAGATTATGTATCCAGTGTGCTGTAGTCAAAGAGGCAAGGAATGACATAGGCTGGTCAACGTTCCAGAGGCGGCATGAAAAAGAATTAAAAAAAAAGACACCACCTAGGCCCAAATAGGGCAAAACTTGAATAAACTCAAAACACCCTGCAGGGTTGCTTTGGGAGGGAGGAGGGGGGGGGGGTTATCAAAAGGGCTAATGCCGACTTTTCAAAAGGAGTTAGCCATGTGAGCCAACTTCCACAAATGTAGTGTGGGTGAACTGCTCTTCCTTTTACTCCATTATCACAGAAGGGGAGACAATACTGGATACACATTGGGGACACCAGCTAATGCTGGGAACAGACAGGAGCTGGGCGCAGGCGCCGTTCATTGCGGTCAAGCCAGTGGGCTGCTGCATTATGAGAATCAAAAAATTGTGCAGAGCTGTCTGCTACCACTCACAGCTTGGCAGGGTAAAGCATGGAGTAAGGCACCTGAAGTGGCCCCAAGCGGCGTTTGACGTTGGTAAATTTGCGCTTCACTTGCACTGGATTTCAGCAGAAATATCTGGGAATATAGAAATTTTTCCTCCTTGGATCTCCATGTTTGGTTGTTGTCTGGCAAGTCTGAGAATGATGTCTTCATATTTATAATACAGTGGTTTCAGCAGGGATGGTCTGTTTGGGCCCCCTGGTGGCGGGGGATAAGGTGGCACTCTGTGAGCTCTTTCCACAGAGAAGAATGGAGTTAAGTTATCTTCGCAAAATGTGGTTAGAAGCCAGGTCTCAATAAAATCAACTCTGTTTTCTTCCCTCTGATTTCTCAGGGATGCCTACCAGGCGGAGGTTGTTTCTGCGTAGGTGATTCTCCATATCCTCATGTAACGGAACCGACCCCCAACTTCACTAGGGTATTTTCGTTAGACTTCTGCTTCCCTGTCTGAACACAGATCCATGGACACCACCACTGACCATACAAGAGGAGACAGCACCAGACTTGTATGAAAGACAGGAAATGAACTGCTTTATTTTAACACAGACACAAGATATATACACAGGGCGGGGAAATACAACCAGTAACAGGAAACACATCAGCAAGCCGTCCCATCGGGGAAGGGCTGCCGGAAACACCCCCCACCAAGCCAGTACAAACTCCCAAGTAAGACACACAATAGAACAATGGGATACACCACGTGGCAGTAGACAATGGACAACCCCCACACCCCACCTATACATGTCTACACAATATCAGGACAGACCACCCTGTACCCCTAAAAGGCACAGGGTGGCTTACACATAACAGGGATATGAGGAGCTGAGACAGGGGTCTCCCCACCTCTCCAAAGGGGGCTGTGTTCCATGGGCCCCCCACCCAAAGTCACTCCCGTCACATATCTCCCCTTTCGGCAGGAGACTAACGCAGGAGTAAATCTCAGACAGATGGACTCCGAAGTTAGTCTGTACTTCCAGTCCCCCAATGCCATCACCCACACAGTACCCCAAACAAATTGTCCCACACAAAGCATTACTCACCCAGCCAACCTCTGCCTCTCTCATAGAACATACCCACCGCTGGGGGGGGGGAAGTACGGACTGGTCCTTCTCCCTGAAGTCCTCTCAGCCGCTGGAGAGAAGACAGGGTGGCTGGGCCGGCTCCATCATGCGGTGGGGGATCTGGGCTGACTGCCCAGTATCCCTGGGGTATCCAGGTGGCGACTGTAGTCTCATCCACTTTGACTTGATGGACATCCCCCAGTGTTTGCAAAGTAAGGTTGACATCCTCTTGTCCCAATGCTAGACCCTTTTCTGGGGTTGTGTCAGTGGAGACTGAAGTCCCATCCACGGACATCAGCTCAAGCTGCTGTTGTGAGGTGCCGATTGCATCCTTTTCCTGTAGCTTCTGCGGGTGCTGATTGTTGTGGGCAGAGGTCAACCACGCCATGCCCTGATGCCAGCTCTTCGGCGGGAGGCGTGCCGGCTGGTTCCTCTTCAGCAGAAAAGTCTATCAAGTCCCCAGTCTCTGGAACTGGTGTCTGGGGATAGGGTTTCACCATCTCATCTCCTGTCTGTGGAACTCAGAAGATGTTACCAGTGCTGGGCAGAGTTCACTAATGTTTGGCCCTGTTGCCAGGTCTTCTGCTGGAGGCTTACCAGGTTGTTTTTCCTCAGCAGAGAAGTCTATCAAATACCCAGTCTCTGGAATTTTCACTGCTGATTCTTGGGCATGCTGCGGAACATGTTTTAGCAGTTGCCTGTATGCCCTTACCAGATGCAGTTCTTTCTTCAGCAGGTATTCCAGATCTGGTTCAAGCTCTGAGACCCCTGTGAGACCGAACATAGCCTCTCTGCCTTCTCGCAACTCCTCCAGGGTAGGTTCTCCATCGCCAAACACAAAATGATCTGTAAGGCTCTCCCACAGCAGCAATCCAGGGCCACGAAAGTCATATCCCTCTGGAGAGCACTCTGTTGTCACCCCTAAATATTCCTGCTCTGCGTACCATTGCAGAGCCCGATATCTGTTGTCCAGCTCCATCTCCTGCTTTATCATCCTGTCCAACTCAGTCACCCATTGCTCCTGGGGTCGCTCTCCCAGGAATGGCATCCGTAACTTCCGATGGTCCCTGGCCCGTTCCCCTGGGGTTGGATAGCACTTGCCTTGTCCATACCAGCAACCTGGAGGGCTCCTCTCCAAAGGACCTGCAAATCCGCTGCCTGAGCTCCAGGTACTGATTCGTAGACACAGTCCTGGGGTATGTATATTGTATAGGGCGCGCTTGTTGGAGCCCAACCTCTGTAGCTGTAAGATAAAGGTGCCAGATGGATATCAGGCATGGATGGATGGGAGCAGTAACATTTAGGCAGCTCTTCTTAGAGTGGAAGCAAGGCTCTAATGCAGTAACAAGAAAAAGAGAGGAAGGCGCCTCTAAGTGCAGTATTGACAATTTATTCAGTAAACAATGGGAAATTTGCACTTACAAGATAAACGGTTAAAAAGGCTCATTGTGTGGTTATTAGATCCAGGTGGGACATCCAGCCGTCCAGCAGCAAACTATGCCTATAGGATCAGGAAGTAGATGTCGGCTCAGTCATGTGATCAGCTGTGTCCAATCACAGCTGATCGCATGTAAATAGGGAAATGCTGGTTATTGGCATTTCTCTCCTCACGAGCTGTCACTCAGAGGGGACATGTACACTGATCATCAGGGCACTGATGATCAGTGTGCCCTGATGATCTGTGTAGCCCCAGCAGTGCCACCTGTCAGTGTCCATCAGTGCCAGCTGTGAGTGCTCATCCATGCCACCTGCCAGTGCCCATCAGTGTCACATTTCAGTGCCTACCAGTGCACATCAATGCCACATATCAGTGCCCATCTGAGCTGCCTTTCAGTGTCACCCAGTCAGTGCCACCTATCAGTGCTGCCAATCAATGTCAGTCAGTGCTGCCTATCAGTTTTCAGTCAGTGCTGCCTGTCAGTTTCCAGTCACTGCTGCCTATCAGTGTGCATCAGTGCTGCCTAACAGTGCAAGTCAGTGCCACCTAACAGTGCCAGTCAGTGCCGCCTATCAGTGCCATATATGAGTGCTGCCTTTCAGTGCCCATCAGTGATGCCTGTCAATGCTCATCAGTGCCACCTATCAGTGCCCATCAGTGCAGCCTATCAGTGCCCATCAGTGCAGCCTCATTAGCGCACATCAGTGAAGGAGAAAAATCACTTATTTACAAAATTTTATAACAAAAACGAAGAAAAAACTTTTTTTTTCAAAATTTTCTGTGGTTTTTGGTTTAAGAAAAAATAAAAAACACAGAGGTGATTAAATACCATAAAAAAAAAGCTCTATCTGTCACAAAAAAAGATAAACAGTTCATATGGGTACAGTGTTGCATGACCACGCAATTGTCATTCAAAGTGCAACAGCGCTAAAAGCTGGAAATTGGCCTGGGCAGGAAGGGGGTATAAGTGCCCTGTAGGATAGCGGTTAAAGAATTTTGAAGCTCAAGCACAATATAATACTGATTTTTTTGGTAAACTATAAAAGATGGTGTTAGCCAAGTAAAAAGATACCTAACATGTCACGCTTTGAAATTGAGCACACTCGCGGAACATTTTCCATATGCAACGCTTTAAAGGCCTTTACAGGTTACCATAGCAGAGTTACACAAGAGATCTGGTGCTAGAATGTGTTTGTCATTTTACATGGCCTATCACTTCGTGTTGCTGTTGTTTCCAATTGCTTCCACTTTTTTATAATACCACTAACAGTTGACCGTGGAATATTAAGTAGCAAGGACATTTCATAGATGGACTTATTGCACAGGAGGCAACCTATCGCGGGTACCATGCTTAAATGCACTGAGCTCCTGAGAGCGACCCATTTTTTCACAAATGTTTGTAGAAGCAGTCTGCATGCCTAGTTGTTTGATTTTATACACATGGTCATGGAGGTGATTGGAACACCTGTATCTAATTATTTGGACTATTATTCTTGGCAATATAGTGTATGTGTTTCGTATATTTAAATAATGTAGCACTATATAAGTAAATCAACACACCCCACCACAATAGTAATATACAATGCATGTGCTAAGTGATTAAATATTAACACATATAATGTACAAAGTTTCACCACAAAATTAAAGAGAAACATGAGTTCCCTTAGTTAGGACTGCGCCCTCTCCACTGGTTCCACCATTTTGTATTGTCCAGTGCTTGCAAATATGTGGCAAAGAGGTCTGCCTTGAGGAGCCCTGCGACACACCTGGCCATGCCCTATGGGAGATTTTGGACCTCCTTGACGGCTCCATCATGCATGTGCAGATGTATCAAAGGTCTCTTCAGGATCCCAAAGACCGGACAGCCTTCAGCACATCAGCATATGTGTGTGCAACATCATTCTTTCCTAAGTAAGAAAGGAGGAAGTGCTATCCTGCAGCACAAAAAAAGAGGGAGGGGACTGGAGCCGGGTACCTGTACATTGTCTTTCAGGGTGAAGGTCCTCTTTCATTTTTGTATTTCAATGGTTTTTATTAATTTGTAACATTTCAACAAGACTTGAGCAACAAGACGCGCCCACGCAGGGGCTATCAATGGCACATAAAAAGTAAAGAAAACAGTGCTCTTAACACCAACAGAGCAAAAGGTGCACTCATGCAGGGGCTTTCAATGGCACATAAAGTACAAAAAACAGTGATATAACACTGACAGTAGCTCAAACCAAAGGCAGCTATCCACCGCCTCACAAAAGGCAAGCAACAATAGTAAGGAAAAGGAGCAGAAAACAAAGAAGACCAGGAGCAGGGGTCCGGGAACGCCAACTGAGCAACATCACAAACCCAGACTAGCTGGGGGGAGCGTGAGAAAAGCATATTTCAACCATGGCTCTCGTATTTCAAAAATTTCCATTGGGAGTCGTTAGATACTCAACATCTGTTCATGGAGCATCAGAGTGGTCATACCATGCCTGAGCAATTGTTCTAGTTCGCAACAAGAACTAATAGGAAGCCAACTTCTGCTGGTGAGCCAACAGGCCTGGTATGGGACAATGAAGCAAAGCATACCGAGCATCCCGGCATATAGAGAGATGGAACAAGGTGAAAAGGAGGCCAAATACACAAGACCAAAAATGAATCAGTTTCGGGCATGACCACCATATATGCAACACATCTCCACGATGCCCAGAACCTCGAAAGCAGTGATCACTGCAGGTAGGGTTCACCTGGGCCAAACGAGCTTACCGAGTCCCACACTTGTAGGCCATGGAGCAAAATCGGACTCAGTGTCATAGGGGTGTAGGGCAGGGGGGGAACCATAGAAGCGTCGATGTCGCAATAGGGGTACAATTAGGTAGTTCCAGCAGGACCCAGAGAGGAACGTCAGAGGAAGCGTGCAACATAGACAGTGGGGCAATCTGGCTCGCCTGATAATACTTAGATGCACCCCAAAACCTCTCTGAAGTCTATAGACAAGCGTATTTCTGGAGACTCTGGGGCGCCTGTCGGCCCAGATAAATTGCATAATCCTCGCCTGAATCGAATCGACCGAACAAAATGAGGAGGAACCCGCACTGGGAGGGTGCAAAAATAGTATAACAGTTTAGGCAGGATGGTCATTTTCACTGAATTAACCTGTCATATCCAAGACCGAGGACACAGCGAAGCAATGGATAATAATTTGAAGCAAAGAGCCATAGGTGGGGGTCAAGCGAATGCCTAGGTATTCAAGTGAAGAGGAAGCCCATTTGTAAGGGAAGTGGAATTGTAGGCGCAAAACCAAATCTGAGGTCAAAGTAATATTGAGAGCGACAGTCTTATCCAAATAATACGGAGACCCGAAATCAAGGAGAAACGTGCAAGAACCTGTTGCAAATTTGGGAGCGTCGTCAGGGGATTAGTGAGAGTCAAGAGGGCATCGGCCGCAAAACGGTTCAACTTAAATTCCTGTCCCGCGTATGGAACACCTGATATATTACAATCAGCCCGGAGCGGTAAAGCCAGTGGCTCAAGCACCAGGACAAAGAGCGCTGGGGACAGGGTGCATCCCTGTCTTGTTTCTCGCCAGATAGGAAAGGGATCTGAGAAATACCCAGCATATTTAACTGAAGCCGAAGAATACAGAGCTTGAATCCAAGAGAGAATAGAGTCCCCAAAGCCCCAACGAGACAGCACAAACTGCAGATATTCCTAGGATAGAGAATCAAAAGCTTTATATATGTCTAAGGATAGTAAGAATCCTGGGATTTTCCGCTGTTGTAGAAGGTGTACTGTATAAGGTGGACCTCTTTATGAATTTTATCACCCGCCTGCCTTCCGGTGGGGAAAACTTCTTGGTACCTGTGGACCAGACTACGCAAATATTTATTGATACAGAGACTGAGGATCTTGCACAATATCTTCAGATCTTCATTAAGAAGATAAATGGGCCGAAAAGCTTGCAGTTCCTTCATATCATCTGTTGTCTTAGGAATCATTGAGATATGAGCCCTGAGTGCGTCCGGAGAGGGCAAAGAGCCCTGTCGTAACTCATTGAATTGGTCAGCCAAAAAGTGCGCCAGCATGATCGCAAATTTCTTATCACAGAGACCTAAAAAGCCATCAGGACCTGGGGCCGCTGTGGACTGTACAGATTTGATTGCTTGAAGCACTTCCAATACGGTTACACTGGCATTTAGGGCCATCCGCACCACTTCGGACAATCCAGGAAGTCGGAGATCTTAAAACAACTCCTCTGCCTAAGCTACAGGGAAGGGATCTGGTTTAGCGTAAAGGTGTGAAAGGAAGTCCGCGAAATGGGAAAGCTGCAATTCTCTCTCCCCCTCTCCCTCTCCGCCTCCCTCTCTCTTCCTCTGAGTGCCAGTACCTTTCAAATTTTCACTCCTTTTCCTACCTGTTATGGTGTTCTGCTAATCGTTTTGAAGTTGCCTGCAGCCCAGACTCCAACGCCTTTACTTCTGTCTCAACCTCAAACACCTACCAATAGTAACATAGCCGTTTCACCCATGCACCATTGTTTTCTCCATTTTATCAAACCAAAACAATTTCTTCACCATCTAATAATGATCGCAAGCAGTGGTATTCACAAAACACAGGAATGGGCTCGCACTTTGTTCATCTGGCACCTTTCTCTCTCTTAAGGCTGGTACACACTGGCCGAATATCGGCCAGTTCAACAGAAACTGGTCAACATTTGGCCAGTGTGTACAGCAGCCTGTCCTACAGAAGCCTGACTAACATCTGGCTTCTGTCGAATGCACATGCTGGAAAACCAGCAGCCGTCCAACATCCGATCAGTGCTTGCAGCCAATGGCTGCAAACGTTAATCATTGTGTAATGGGGGGGGGGGGGGCCACCACAGTACTCCTGTCTTCTGACAATGGCACAGGGTGGATATTGTTGTACTAACATTGCTTGTGCTAGTACAGCAAATCTGTAAGGTTTTTTTTTTGTTCAGCCCACTGGGGTTGAAAGCAACATTACCGTTTAAGGACTTGTTAATTTGGTCAGTTCGTAATAACAATCCTTTGGTGTCATCTAAGGCAGCCAGTCGTAGAATTCATTCTTGAATATTGTGAGCTAATAATACTATGTAAATATGAAATTCCCCTATAATTTATTAATTGGAATGTTTAATTGAACACGCATCAATTAAAGTGGTTGTAAACCTTAGACAGAAAATATGAACAAAGCACATCCTTCGTTACTGTGTACTTGTCTCTATCCAAAAACACTGTGTGATTTCTATCTGCTGCCTCATTCCTCTGTTATCTGCAGGAGTCACTTCTGACAGATTTTCCTAACTCCAAGAGATAATTGATGACGGGGCAGGAGAGCTCCAGCACACAGCCTGCGATTCTTAGCCACAGCAGTGCATGTTCCTATTGTGAGGAGGGGACATGTCCCTTCCCTCAAGTCAGGGCTCAGAGCTCTCCTCGCTGAGCTCTGCAATGTGAGACTTCAGGTCCACACACCCTGCTTTTTAGAGCTGAGAAATGTGTGTTTTGAAAGGCTGTAGAGGAGAGAGGGCTGCAGATAAACAGGAGGATTTATGTCATCTGATGCCAGTCACTTCACTGGGTATATGTAGGGATTTTCAACCACTTTAAACCAGGGTTTCACAACAATTTCTACAGTAGACCAGTAGGTACAGC